CAAAATAAGAAGTTCTTCGCTGACAAGCCGGACGAAAGCACACTCTCACCTGAGATGAAGGAGCACTACGAGAAGTTCGAGAAGATGATTCAGGAACACACTGACAAGTTCAACAAGAAGATGCACGAGCACTCGGAGCACTTCAAGGCCAAGTTCGCTGAACTTCTGGAGCAGCAGAAGAACGCCCAATTCCCGGGCAAGTAAGCAAAGAGTGTTGTGTGGCTGTAATTAGATGAATTATGCGGCGCACTATCCCTCTGACAGAAATCAATTCCTTGATTTTCGTACCCCTCCTTTTTTATTTATTGTTTTTTTTGTTGTTTTAACGGTTTCCATTTGTGAAAGCATAAAACTATTTTAGTAGAATCAGTTTTTGAGGTGCGGGACAGCTGAGAGAAGACAATATTGGCATAATTCTTAAAGTGAAGAAGTGACAACAATACATATTTATGTGTATATTTATATATATATATTTTTTCCTTTTTTTACTTTAGTTTTTCGTAGTATCGGACACTGTGTGTCTGTGGGAGGGTTAAGGGGGGTTTTATAAGTTGCTTGAATTCAATTAGATGCTGCGTCGCTCGCGTTTGTATTCCTTCCGAATGAAGGGAGGCGATATGCTTGTTGAATACAAAATAATGTCGCGTGATCATAAGCGTTCCATTCGTGTGGAGGATGCTGTTGTCGACCCGAGATTAACCCGAACAGTTGTGCCGTTAAGTTGGTTGGAGCAATTGCGAAGTCCGTCTGTGCGATTGCAAACGGGTTATCACACAGAAGAGGCTGTATATGTGCCGCCTGGCTACTCAACTGTGTCTAGTGGAAGTAGTGGTAATAATAATAGTGGGAATAGAATGAGTGAAAGGACGGCAGAGACTCCAAATGCGATTCTTGCAGGGCCTGTCGTACTGTATATCACTGGGCAGAACATTCCAGTGGTGTTGAACCCATACTTCGTTCCAGAAGATATTTGGGGACTTAAAGGAAAAGACGATGAATTTGATCTGCGCCTTGGTATGGATGCTATTGAGCAGTGTACGCTATTTAATGAGATTCGTCCGGGTGGTTTACTCTACAGTAAATTACCAGAGAACCAAAATGTTAAACCGCATGAATCACTCCACACAACATTAGAGCGGTATGGTATGAAGTGTGGACTCGCCGAGTCTCCTTTGGTTCCACGGCCGTGGACAAGAATGAAGTACATGTTTATTGATGAGTTGCAGCGGGGACCCAAAATGACAGAGTTTGTTGGGCACAACCCACGCAATGGAACTCAGTGGCGATTTTCACAACATAATAAATACTTCCGCACGGGTATATGGAGAGAAACTATTCGTCGCAATGAGATGAACGAAGGCCTCCACACACATAGCAGTTGGCAGAAATCTCCGCAACAGTCTGTACCTGAGGTTCGTTTCATGGCTCCTTACCCATAGTGAGAAGGAGGAACGGGAAGAGTGAAACGGAATGGCACAGGTGTAGCAGTTTAATTGTTTTTTTTTTTTTATTGTATGTTTCTTGTTATAATTCTTTTCTCGGAGGGAAACTATCTAACTTAAAGCTTTATGGGTTTCTCTTTATATGGTTATTCTTGTTGTTTTTTTTCTTTTCTTTTTATTTCAATTTCACTATCTCTTTTTTTTTTTTATCTCTCTCTCTCTCTCTCTGTGTATATATACATGAGTGAGAGAGAATATATATAGAGAAAAAGAAAAAAACTAAAGGATACCAGGTGAAAATATTCAAAGTTTTTTTTTTTTCTCTTTTACTGATGACCATGAGTCGAAACCATTGTTTACTACAGCGTTACCGAAGTCCCAGAGATATGCATGACATGTCTTTGGTGATTCCCGCTGGCCGAATGGTGTTGGAGAACGGCATTGTACACCCACTCCTTGGAAGAGGGAACCTCTGTATGGTACGTGAACGAATGAAAGATAAATTATATTTGGCTTGGTTTAACCATGATGGTAACGAATGTGAATCCTTCAGGGGAAAGCCAGGGACGATAACAGTAAACTGGGTAGAAAAATGTAAAACTGGTAGAGTAGTACTCTTTACTATAAAAGATTCTAATAAACTTTTGTTCTATTGGTTACAGTCAAAATCCACGGATGATGATGTTGCCCTTATGAACGAAATGAAACGTCTGATAAGACGGACTATTATAATTCTTCCTCCCTCCGAAATACGAAGAGAAATGCAAAGAAATAATCCGAAAAATATTCAGATGCCGACGCTCCGTAGAATACTAGCAGAAGTAACTGCGAAGGAGTCAACAGTGGAAGTTGACCTTGTTGAAATCTTCACCTCTAGCAAACTTGCAGAAGAGCTAGAAGAAAACAGAGAATTCTACATGTCCAGAATGAAGCGTAATGTAACGGCTAGTGTAGTAGAGGCTGACGATCTACTTGATCCTCTAAAGTTTGTACAGGATTCACGAGTGCACTGGACTGCTGTTATGATTGACAATTTACTTCGTGATGAGAGTTTATATGAATTACTTTGTTGCCTTTTTCCACCTGACTTTCCGGCAACAAAGCCTGGCGTCACAAACTTTCTTATGAATCTCCACAGACTGGATTCGAGAAGAAGAAAATAGTGACCTATAAGAAACAGAAGTCAAAATGGGATGTGAAAATGAAAAAAAAAAAAAAAAAGATAACATGGTGTACATGTATTATTATTTTTTTTTTCGCATCTATCTATATAACTACGTGTATTCGCATTTCCCTCTCTCTCTCTCTCTCTATATATATATATATATATATATATATATATATATATATATATATATATGCGTTTTGATATTGTTTTATTCTTTTTTTTTTAGGGCGTTTTGATTTGTCATTGTTCTTCTTGTCGTTATTTTCCTCTAGATGATAATTGAAGTGGAAGTGTGCAGCTAGACGAGTACACGTATCAGACGGTGAGTTTGCTTTAAAAAAAAAAAAAAAAAAAACATTTCTTTTCGTTTTTCTGTTTTTGTTTATTATTTTTATTTTCTACTGTTAAGCAACGCAAATAGTCCTTATGAACGACGAAATATGGGAGTTCACTCCCACTGAGACGAAGCGAATAATGAGTGTTCTTTCGTTTCTTCGTGACTGCGGGTGTCCTTACATTGGCCGTCCTGTTGTACGGGTATATGAGGAGGAGAGTCAAAAAAATATAGACACGAGGTGTACAACAGAATCACCTCGTCGGATCATCCTTTCATACCCTTCTCCTGTACGAAAACTGACGCTACACCAGTATCTACAACTAGAAGAAAGCCGTCGCTACGAAGTTAAGGTGGGATTAGCGTATCAACTTGTTCAGGCGGTTGCTTATCTTCACAAGTGTGGTGTTAGTCACCAGTTCCTGTCTTCTGATGCTGTTGCGGTGGAGTTAGGTCCAGAACCGATAATTAAAATCACAAATTTCTACAGTTGCACCACTAGTTTTTCCAACTATAGTGGTTCTTACATTTGTGTAAGGAAGTACCGCCCTCCAGAGGTTGTACTTCAGCTCAGTGGAATTAAACCCAACGCGGTAGACTGCTGGGCGTTAGGTTGTCTTTTATTTGAGGTCTATACCGGAACCGCCGCCTTCTCATTAGAACGGGGTGAAGGGACCTTTCGACCTCAACTCATTAAACAACAGCTAGAGGAGGCGGTAAAGGGAATTGGCCGCCTGGACAAGGATGACATCCCGCCAGGATGCCCAGAGCGTGTATCGCAATATCTTTTGAGTCTTGACTGCGAATCCTCTATCTTCTCTCGTCTACAGTTGGCGGGACCAGAAGAAGAAGCTAAACTCTGGATTTCATTAGTGATGCCGTTTCTCAAGTTTAACTACCTCTTAAGAGCAGAGGCTGATGAATTGCTGCAGCACAAGGTTTTCGCAGGACTGCCGCCACCTGTTAACTGGCATATACCTACCGAAGTGGCGTCAGAACTGGAAGATCTATTGGATTGACATGATGTCTATACTTCTTTTTCCCCTCGCCGAACCTCTCAATGGGAATTCGTTAAAGAAAGTATTTCCGGTTACTATTTCCTCTTTTTTTTTCTTTTTTTTTTTTTTTGCACATGCAAAAATTATCATGTTTTGGGGTGGTTTCTTCACTATTTAAAATTTTTTCTCTTCGTATCTATGTCTGTGTTAGCAGTTGGGTCAAAAATACAAGATATAGAAAGGCAAGCGAAAAAAAAAGTAAAAAAGCAACTATGGGTCAGTGGTTAGCGTCTGCGTTCAAATCGCTCCTGGGAAAGCAGGAGGTGCGTATTCTGATGGTGGGTCTTGATGCGGCCGGTAAAACAACAATTCTGTATAAACTCAAGCTTGGTGAGATTGTGACCACCATTCCAACGATCGGATTTAATGTTGAGACAGTGGAGTACAAGAATCTCAAGTTCACCATGTGGGATGTCGGTGGTCAGGATGTTCTGCGCCCCCTTTGGCGTCACTACTATCAAAACACCAATGGACTCATCTTCGTTGTGGATTCCAACGATCGGGAGCGTATTGGCAAGGCAAGGCAGGAGCTGGAAAAGATGTTGACAGAGGATGAGCTCCGCAATGCGGTCCTGTTGGTGTTTGCAAACAAGCAAGATTTGCCGAATGCCATGAGCACGACGGAGGTGACGGAGAAGTTGGGTTTGCATTCTGTGCGCCAGCGTAATTGGTATATTCAGGGTTGTTGTGCTACTACAGCCCAGGGGCTGTACGAAGGCCTTGACTGGCTTGCCGCAAATATCAAAAAGAGCACACAGTAGTAGTGGACTTCTTTGAGGAAAAAAAAATCTAGTAGTATTAATTTCTCTCTGGGTGCATAAGAATCTTTTATGTATGCCGATGATGATGTTTATTATTTAAAATGGTATTGAAGTTTGTATTTTTGTTTTGAATATTCTCTCGTAGGATGAGATTGTGTTGATTATTTTGTTTTCTCTTTTTCTTTTTTTTTTGTATTTAGAGAGAGAGAGGGAGGAAGTAGAATGCAATGTCGTTTGGAATTACGGCCTCAAGAAGAGGTAAAGTAGCTGGTGGTTTGGTTTCCGCTTTTGGTTCTGCTCTTTATGGTTCTCACAGGGGTCCTCGTGGGTTTTATCCTGAACCTGTTGATGTTTGGCTGGCTGTATTGATGGATGCTGTGCCATTGTATCAGAAGAGTGTAATTATTTGTCCATCCACGATATCAGACGACCGTGCATCGTCGCTACTTGTACGGGCGAAGGAACACCTCCCATCTGTGCATTTAGCCCCACTGCGAAAGCGCAGCTGTAGAGATTCGTCACTATTATCATGTGAGAGAAGTCGTCAGACATCAGAGGTTGTAGCCCCACTCTTACCTTCATTTGAGTCACCATTGGAGAGTCTTGCACCGCAATCTCTCGATCTTGTGGTATTTGCGGCAAATGTGTTTGGTGAGGAACTGTTGTATGATGCGCCTTGGCACATGTCCCTCGCCCACCGTTGTTTGCGTCCACACGGAGTTGTCGCCATCATTGGTTACGATACGCGGGTTCGAGTGGCAGCTCCACAAACAGCTCAAAGGGATACAGATGATTTTCTGGAAGATTTACAACGCCGTGCAAGTGAGTTAGCAAACGGGACAGATTCACAAGATATATCCATAGCGTTAAAACGAGCGCTGGATGTTAGTAGTAGTCTGAATGTAGGTCATGCAGATACATACTTTCCTTTTCCCTCTACAAGACGGCGTTGGTTTGTCTCTGAATACTCCGTAAGTCCTGCACAACTTGCGGCATCGTACAGAGTTCTACCGGAGTATCAAATTCTTTCTGCAGGAAGAAGACGCCATATTTTACCTTTTTCTGATGGAGAAGAAAGAGAAGGTGATGCAATAAACGTTTGCCGTCGAAGCTCATGTGTTGATCCACTTGAAGCCTTACAGGTTTGTTTAAAGGCCCATGATACATTGGAGGGAAGAAGGGCGTTAGCATCACCTTCACTGAGAGCTCACGTGCGGCACTTTGTTGTTACGTGTAGTGCACGTTCGGTAAACTCTTTTTCACAACATCATGAACTTTCCTCTTCAGGAAGGCGTTTACCACAATTAAAATAGTTACGTGATCAAAATTTTTTTTTTTTTTTGGTATTCTGAGTTTTTGCTTATCCTTCCCTAGAGACGTAAATGAAGTAGATCAATATAAATATATGCATTTATTTATTCTTGTATTAGTCTATTTGTTCAAGCGGTTTTTCCATTTCTTTTTATTTTTTATTTGTTCTTTTTTGATAGTGCTTCTGTGGACGTGTAGGAGCAGTCAACTAGGTTGTGCGTGGGTACATATATATATATATATATATATATATATAAGGGCGAATTAGTTTGACTGAGTAGGTAAAAGTGGTTTTTGTAGCTTTACTACTTCTTCCTTTGTAAGGATGGAGAAGGTAAGGAATAAGATGCTGCTGTTTGCTGTTCGGCAAATACTTGGTCGCATTGTGAAGGATATTCAAAGCGATCAGTTGGAAAAAATTAAACGCTCGGAAGACAGACTTGGTTTTGCATTTGAACTCTCTCATCTTGAGTTAAATGAAACGTTTATTAATCAAGAACTACTAGGCATTGCTGTAGATAATACCACTGGAGCTTCAACATTGCCTTCTTCTAGCTCATTGCGACTCGTACACGGTTACGCTAATAGTTTACGCGGCGATCTCACCTTTAGTCCAAACGGACAACGAAAACTAGAGGTGGATGGTTTACAACTTGTATTTGATGTTATTCCAAAGGTGGAGTGTACACTCCCTGCAGGCCATCGTGGCCGCAACAACGCGACAGGGAACACAAAAAAAGGCACACATTCCCGCCGTTCTTTTAGTAAAAAACGCAGTGGAGTTTCCACGAAGAATCCCTCATGTGGTGATGGCGACGGTGTCAATAACGCCGTTGGTATGGATAATGATTACAGGCGTCATGCCGGCAGTGATCCCCACCAGTATGGAGATGATGATAATAATAATGAGCGTAGTGAAATGGAGGAGGACGCGATGTATTCCTCTCTCTTCATGAGCGGCACGCTGCGGCGGGGAGTCGAGGAGGGCGTCGTCGTGCCGGCCATTCGCGAGACGGGCGGACTCTCCGCAACACAGCCGTCAGCCGTGCGGCGGCTCATTGACGAGGGCCTCGAGGTGTTTGAGCGGACCATTAAACAATTCATGCATAGCGTCAGTGGGTGTATACGCAATGTGAGCATTATTCTCCGCATTCCACCACTCGATCAGCGCATCATCCCTGGTAGAGAACCCCCACAGGGAACTCTTGAACTTCTCATCTCTTTTCAGGGAGGATTTAAGCTGGAGGATATGTGTTCAAACCCTGAGAGTGATGTTGTGCACAAACGTATTCACTTCTCTAATTTCCGTGTGGCGGTGTACCCGTATGGAAAACGGCACACCACAAGATGCACAGAAGAAGAGGTGGAGGAGTCTGTCGATCTCGCGGATGTTTTTCTTTGTAGTGGGCCACCAGATGAGTTTAACAATGAAATTGTACTTCGATTTGGAGAAGGTCGAAACGCCACACAAGGATCAGGGGCTTTTCTGGATGCCAAAATAACAACAAAATTGTTTTCTCTCATTCTTTCACCAACACAATTGGGTCGTCTCGTTCACGTTGCCCGTGCCTTAGTTGGGGCACCAGAGAGCGATAGAGAAGATGCGATGGAGGCGGCAGCCACAACTGCTGCTGCATCAACAACAACAACAACAACATCCTCATCAACTTCATCATGTGCGGTGCGGCTCACTAAAACTATGAAAGCCACATGTCAGTATGTTTCTTGTACATTTTTGCCAACGGAGGACCAAAAGGGTACGAAGTTGTTTTGGCAAATGTTACAGAAGAGTGATGGAGAGGGTAATAGTAATAATAATAATAATAATAATAATGATAATGCGTTGCAATCATCAAAGCAACATCGATTACTCTTGCAGCGTCTTATTAATCTTAGGGTTTATTACAATGTGTATGTTGGTGGTATTATGTTGCTCATTCAACCAGTGACTGCAAGCACAAGCAGAACTGAAGATGCATTTCATGATGTTTTTCAAAATCATGGCGGTCGTGGATGCTCTGCTGGAATAGGTGTTATCGAGATTTATGAATTATATGCAGGGAAAGAAAATGATAATAAGAAGTCTACTACTAATGTAGACACTCATACTTTTGCTAGCATTCCTGAGGGAGGTAGACTTGTTCTTACCACAAAAGAGAATGCTGAAACCTGCTCTGAACGTCGTTACCGTATTGCTATTGTTTCGCGAACCACGTATCCACTTACATTAGAAGAGGCCCGTCAATGTAACAATGATATTCTAAAAAGAGATGATCATGTTGCGGCAGTCGTAATGGAGCATATCCTTGTAAAGACATCTGGTGCTGTTGTTTTGGGAGAATTAGACGCTGGAATACTTGAGAGATTGGGAACCTTTTTGGTTCAATTACAGCGTATCATTGAAAGAACTCCTGTTGAAAAAAAAATGCCAGGACATTCCAATCAACATACACAACAATCACAATCACAATCACAACAACATCAAGAAGAACAAGAAAAACATGAACAACGGGCAGAAGCTTCCTTATCTTCATCATCTCCACTATTTGGACTACGGCAAGTCTCTATTGATGATATGGATCGGTTTGAAAAACTTGTTGGCGAAGAACAATTTATGCACTTACCACTGGAACAACTCTCTGTAGAAGATACTGCTGATAATTTCCCAGAGGTGCAGGTGACCACACCATATGTATTTCTGCGATTCATGACTTTACAATTAGAAGGAGTTACTGTAGAGATGAAATTTCCCACATCGAAAGCGCCTGATCCCGACTACTATGGACCCTTAACACGTCGTTTGTGGGAACTTCTTCGTAAGGAAGGAGAAGCCTTGGCAGCATCGGATGTTAAAACAGGTTTTGCAGATGTAGATGGTCCTCATCTACCAATTACAATGAGTGTCTACTTGAAATCATTGGATGTCTCAGTTGATAGTGAGGGAGTATTAGAAGTATTCTTGGCTGAAGGACAACTTACTTTGCATGATTATAAAGAAGATGTTCAGAGTAAAATTCTTCGTTGTGTCTTTGATGTAGACGGCAAGGAACCTTGTATTTCTGTACACAAACGAGAACCCATGGTGGTAACCTGTTCTAAATGGGGTGTTGCAGAAAAAGCCCATCGCCCTTTTACAGTGGAATATGAAAAAGAAGAAGTTGAAGCTGAGAAGAATAGTTTTATTACTGTGGTTGCGAATATCTGCAAAGTGGAAGCTCAAGTTCACCAAGATGAATTTTTTCTTCCATTATTTTTCTTTGATCAGATTGTGGAGGCGGTGGACAGACTTTGTGTGGTGATGAATTCCCCAGTTGGAGATGAAAATAATAATAATAATAATAATAATAATAATAATAATAATATTTCAAATACAAATATTATCAATAAGAAAAATGATAAGAGTGAAGAAATAGAAGAAATAGAAGAAGAAGAAGACGAAGAAGAATTGAGGGAATGTATAGGAGAAACTACAGAGGAAGGGGATGTTTCCTTATCTAATGCTTTTCCTACATCACATGAAGAGGATCATTCTATTACTACAGAACCTGATCCTATTATCACAAATATAACGATTCGTTTAATAGTAAATGAGGGAACCGTTTCATTATGGGCTCCAAGACTCTCCTCTGCAGGTGTTAGCATTGGAGAACCACTCTGGCGTTGTATTCCACATAAAGAGCGACGACGTACGGATAAGGAACATTTATATCATCGTTACGATTTAATGATATCAAAGGTTTATATTTTCGCACTTCATCAGGCATCTTCTCTTCTTGTAAAGTCATTCATACATGGAAAGGCATCCGATTTTTCTTTTAGAGAACGACTCTGTCAAGCAAAATTGGCTTATACAGATTTCCCATGGCCAGCGGATCATGACTCTTCACCTAACTGGGGTGGATACATGACACTTTTACAAAGTTATACCGCACTTTATAATCGTTCAAACAATGTACGTGTACGTACACCGCGTACAAATACAACAGGGACTACACGCAAACGATGTACTGTAGGTATATCACTATGCCGTCATCGTAATCTGGAAGATCACACGGAAAATTATGATGTAGTTGTACGATTAGATCGTATTTGTATGTCTCATCAAGTTTCACACGAGGGAGATCATTGGTTGTTTGTTCTCTCTAATTTTTTTTCGGATCTCAGTACAGATAACCTTAATATGGCAGTGGCACAAAAAGAAACTGGAGTATCACCATCTGATTTAGAGAATGTAGATGTACGAAGTGATGATGGTGTGGCTATGGCAACATCAGCTACTGTTCACATAACACTTATTGATGCTCTTGTTGAGTACAGACCCTTTGGGAGGTATTCTATGCTTCTCTGCTTAGCCCCTCATCTTGACATTTCTCTAACGGTACCAAGTTTATTAAAGGAGACAACTTTAGTAAAGCTGTATCTTGGAAAAGAAAAGATATCTGTCTTTCTTCATAACAATTTTCAACAATACCTCATGGAGTATGATCGTGATGCAGGATTAGAATCTTTAATTGGAAGCAGCGAAAAAGGTGTTGCAACAGATCTTAAAAATCTTGGTTATGTCTTGGTAATGGATATAGCAAACTCTGGTTATGTCAAGGAAAATAATAATAATAATAATAATAATAATAATAATAATAATAATAATAATAATGGTACTGGTGATATTCCAGAAAACGGTGATTTAGCGAATATTGCTTTATTTATTAATGTGACAGCCGGGAAACCTGTGTTTATTGAAGTACAGAAGCTTCGTGCTTCCATGTTCTTTGCACATGATTCACTCTACTACTTCCGTACTGTGGTCTCTCATTTTCTCTCCGGGGTCGATCTTCTATACTTGCCATCCCCTTATTTACTTGTACAGCGAAGTGGACCTCATTTTTCTCATATTACGCATGTAAATTCAACAAAAAATAACTCCACCGTAACTGTACATCGTCTGGTATCGGATTATGAGTCTCATATTCGTCGTTTACTTGGTACATCTGTTTTCAATATCACCTCTGGAGAGACCTCAGAAAGTATACAAGAGGGAGGAACTAGTATGAAATCAAAAGGTACTACATCTGTTTCTTATGCAGACTTTGATATGATTGAAATGAGTGATTTCTCTGAAATGGGTGATTTCTCTACCCTTCAAACAAAGGAATGGGTTACCCGTGAGAATCAACCTATTGATTTGGGAAAATGTTGTGCTAATATGAGTTTTCTCTCCATGTATGGTGCTGCAGGTGAGATGCCACAAGCGGGTGGGGGTCCACATATTTCACCAATGTCTACACATCGTGTTCGATATAGACCACGTAAAACCCCAGCGGCCACTCCAATTGCAGTGGAACTTTATCTTTACGATGCGGATGTTATTGTTCATTTATACGGTGGTACAGACTTTGTACATGCTGATGTTCCTCAGAGTTATCTTCATACCATGCAACGTTTTGGTGCATATGATGAAATGGCTCAAGAATCTTTTCTTTTCTGGAGTGGAATGGAATCTGATATGGAGTTAAATGAAGGAAGACGTGAAGGACATCGTATGGGGTTTTTAGGAGGTGGAAGACGACAGAATGAATATGTGGTGGGTCGCTTTACAGGGATTCGACTTCAAGTAGACTTGTTTCTACCAGGTAAGAAAAATTATGCACAAGTGTACTTGGCCGTACGAGATGGGGAAGTTTTGGATTGTATTGAGGGAAGTTCAGTTCGAACTATTTTAATGGGATCTTTTCCACAATCACTGAGAGATCATGAGAGTGATTTATTTGAAATAAAATGGACCACCATTCTTCCACGTACCTCTACATCCTCTGCTGGAGTTATAATTGTGGGAAAACCAGAGGAAGAACTTATTATACGAATTCAACCAATTACAGTGGCTTTGCATAGACGTGCAATGAATCTACTTCCTCGTTTTTTAGAGGTTCCAGATGATATTAAAGATGAAAATGAAATATGTGATGTAGTGGAATCAAAACCATTGTTTTTTAGTAAAATTCTCGTATATCCTGTTCAAATAACACTATATGTGCATTTTGAGGGTCAAGGTTTAATGTCTGCTATTAGTGGAGATGTTTTTGAGCTTTTTAACTACATCTCACCTTCACTTGAGCGGTCAATCATACAAGTTCCATATATATTAATCGCCGCTTGCCCACTTGAGAGTGTTGCAGATCGTATTCTCGAATCTTTACAAGATGAGATTCTACAGTTTCATGCCTTATTCATGCTCTGTTGTGGAGTTCAACTCATACAGTTAGCATCTAATATTGGTGAAGCAGGTGCTGACGTACTTTTTGCACCTCTACGTGAATATAGCCGTAATAAACGTTTCTTTTCCGCCGTTTCTCGTGCCCTTCGTCGTTTTCTCTTTACAGTAGTTTCCCAATCATTACACACAACAGCCATGTTATCGCAGCGAGTACACGTTGGTACATCTACTACAATTGCCCAAATATTACCCTTATGGGAACAGGAAAATATGACACTAACGCGTGGATCTCAGCCTGTGAATTTTCTTGATGGTATGAGACGTGCATTTCTGGAATTCCTTCAGGGGTTTCGCATGGCTTCCAACATCACAGCGTACTGTCTTGGCCCACAGGGAAGTCTTCTGCGTTTGCCAGTGGCAGCGCCTGCGGTGATGGATGGTTTTATGCGGGCGACAATTGAGGTACTTCGCGGGATGCGCAACAGTGTGGATCCGGATTTGTACGAATTGGAAAAAAGACTGTTTAAAGGTAAGCGTCGAAAGATTAATGATGCATAGGCAGTCTGTTTCTTCGTGCCTATGCTGAGTGAAGAATTAAAAAAAAAAAAAGTTGGGAAAGGGGAAAAACCCCCTTTAAGTTTAAACAAGTGGGAAAAACAAAGTAGTGGAAATAGTTAGTAAAAAAAAAAAAAAAAAAGCACACAGTATCGTGGACTGTATTGTCACGGAAAACTACCGAGTTTTACTGAGAGTAAAGTTATTAGTATAAAAAAGGGTGTGTGTATGTGCATGCGTCTGTGGGGTGAGAAAGAGACACAACTATGTGTTTTTCTTTTTCTTGTAGCGTGGATCGGATTTCATTCTGAGATGGCCTGAATATCTCGGCTTTCTCATGTGTTGATGTTCGTCAAGTTTTTTGGTGATTGCTTTAGTTACTCTTTCTTTCTTTTTTCTTTTTTTTCTTTAGTTATCTGCTTATTTGTCTGCCTATCTTTGCGCTGTTGTGGGTGTTAGGCCACTGTAGTGTTACACAACGTCATTTATTACGTTAGTTCTATACTGATGTGGCCGCTAGGCACCCAATCCTAAAAAAAAAAAATAAAAAAAGCTATGAGGAGTTTTTTTTTTTTCCTTTGTCTCTTTTCCCTATAATCGATCAACTCAATTCATTTTTGATTTTTTATTATTATTTCCCCTCCATGTGGTTCTTTTTTTTTTTTTTTTCTACTTCTCCCTTGTGAATTATGTATTCACCTGCAAATGTGCAGCTGAGTGTGTGTGTGTGTGTGTGGAAGTGTTTGCACTACCACTATACTTATCTATATCTTTCTCTCTATTTCTTTTTCTCTTTTTATCATTTATTCATTCAGTCCCCATAGGAGCCGCCAGCCAGGTAAGTAAATACAGAAGGAATCGAATCAAATCAAACACACATACACTCACAGGCTTACAGAGTCTCTCGAAGGAAGCAAAACACATCTGTTCGAGTATTGCGGCGATGAGGGAATTGGAAGGCAAAATTGTTGTTTTGCTGCGCACGAGTAGTGTGGCCCGGGCGCCGGTGTACCGCCACCTCCGCGCGATGGGTGTTCTTCTCCTTCTCGTCCACCCCACACCGCCGGCCCCCGCCTTCGACGGTCTTTTTCTGCATCAACTCACACACGACACCCACGACCCGGAGGCGCTCCTGCCAGCACTCACACAGTTTCTCGCAGACCTCAACCTCACCCCAGATGCCGTTATCTCCTTTGATGAGTACGCCGTCTACCCGGCGGCCGTCATTGCCCAGCAGATGGGATTTCGGCCTATTCCACTTCCCCCACAGGAGTTGCGTGGGGTGAGTGTAAAGTCGATCTTTCGTAGTTGGTGTAGGGCGCACGGTGTCGCATCACCGGCGTCAGTCGTCCTCACGCGTCCATCGCCGGAACAGCAAGAAAATCTGCAGACACACATTGCGGAGGTGCTGCAACAGGCGGGATTGACATTTCCTGTTGTGATGAAACCCTGTCCTGGGGCTGGAAGTCTACTGGCAAAACTATGCTTCAACGTGGAGGAGGTGCGTGAACAGGCACTTGTGATGTGGAGAACCTTCAGCACGCATGCGGATGTAAAACACTTTGAGGCATTACTTAATACAGCGGAGGAGACGGGGGAGAAAAAGATGCAGATATTGGTTGAAGAGTTTATTGAAGGGCAAGAGGTAGATCTTGATTGCTGTGTTGAAAATGGTCAAGTGGTGTTCTGTAGCATCTCCGACAATTTTGAAACTTGTCCACCTTTCTTTGTGGAAGAGGGTGGATTATGTCCTAGTGTATTGCCTCAGCGTGAACAAGAGGCATTACGACAACTCTTAGAGCAATTTGTCTCAATTCATGGTGAATGTTTACATGGGGTATTACACTTTGAGGCAAAGTACGACTTTAACAGACGCCAGGCGTATGTGATTGAAGTAAATTGTCGTCTTGGTAGTGCAGAAACCAACACGATGGTACGTACTTGCTACCGTGGATTAGAACTAGGAGAATCATTAGTACGCTGTGCATTGGGACTCTCCGTAGTGGAGCAACTCGCACGCCACTACCCAGAAGAAGTATTAAAGCAAAAACACATGTTAACAGGTCTGCGTGGTTGTTTTCCACCAACGTGCTTCTGCGCATCTGTAAATGTTTATCCTACTATGGAGGGTGTGTTGGTACGAGCGGATGTGGATACAACCGATAAGAGTCTGGTGGAATACAGTGTGTCTGGTGTGCCCGGAGTGTTCGTGGCCCCACCACCAAAAGCATTTTATCTCCTGGCATGGATGGTTGCGAAAGGCGCAACGGAGTCTGTGGCTCGAGAGGCCATTAAACGAATTACAAATGACTTTGTACAAGAGATATCTGTGGCTCAATGAAATTATATATCAGTGATGGCTCCATAGGATGGTTGGGCTAGCTGGGTAATGTATTGTGGTAGGTAGTGATGATGGTATTTATTGTTATTTCTATTTTTTTTTTCTCTCTTTTGTTTCTTTTTTTTCTTATTTCAGTAATTGATCATGATTCAAAAAGGTGTTGGGTGGTGGTGAACAGTTGACAATGGGGATTGAAATGTATTATCAGCCGCATTAGTAGTCGTAGTGACAGAAGCGACGATGGTGAAAAGAATTGAAGCCATAAACCACAATATCATTATTATTATCATTATCGTCTCAGAAAGCGTGGGAAGCTTTCAATAAAAGCCACGCTTAAGTTGAAGAAGAAAAGAGAGAATAGGAGATATAGATTGATAAAAAAAAAAAAAAAAAGAGAGAGAGAGAAATGGGCGGCGTGTTGTTGTAACAATAACATCGTGCCAGTACATGAAATATCTTTTGAACTTTCATTTTGGTCCTTATTGCGTGTGTATTTCTCATTTGATTATAATATGACTTTTTTTGCTTTTTCTTTCTTAATCATTCTCTCTGTGTGTGTATGTGTGTTTGTATTCCTCCGCTTGTTTCGTTTGTTTGGTGCAATGTACATGTTATTTTCTCTTTGTCTCGCGAGTGAACCTACTAGCCTATGCCTTTCTTCTTCTTTTATTATTATTATTATTATTATTATTATTATTATTATTATTATTATTATTTCTGCTTACCTTATTTATTGACTCCCGTTTTTCTTCTTCTTTACATTCATTCACTCTGTTGACCATTTTGCGCTTATAGTGATGTATATGTGGTAAGGATAGGAGACGGTGAGACGGTGAACTGCGTGTGTGTTTTTTTTTTTTCTTTCTTTCACGTTAAATCATATATATATATATATATATATTTATATATTTATATTTATATGTTTTCTTGTATTGCTTCTCCACATCAGGCCTAAACCCAATTTTTCTCTATTATACCGTTTCTAATGTGGTGTGTTTCTATTTTGTCATTGCTATGGGGGAGTGTCACTATATCTATTTTATCTTCTTCTGCTTGTTGTTGTTCTCTGTCTGAAGAAAAGGGGATTTTCCAGAAGAAGGAACTTAAGGGAAATACCGAAGAAAAAAAAAAAAAGAAAACATCAAGAAAAGGTGCAAGTTACGAACGAGTAGCTCACACACACTCTCACAAAGGGGATAAGGAAAAAAAAAGAAAAAAAAAAAACATACACGAAAGGAGAAGGTGTAAAGGTTATTATTATTATTAATATTATTATTATTATTGATTTTACTGGGAGTGTGGTGAGGACGGACCAGGTTCCTTTTCGTTTTCCCTTCTCTTGACATTCACCGAAAGTGCACAGAGTGGGAAAGGAGTAGTGGTATGTACACTCTCAATTCAACTTCCCTGCGCCACGGTCCAAAGCAGTCACAACAACAACAACAACAACAAAAAGTACAAAAAGTACAAAAAAAACAAGAAGAGCCATTGCCTCCGTATCCTGGTTTCCCCATTGTAGACCCTGCCGGGACGGTACTCTTGGCTCAGACCCCGACGCCTATTGGAATGACTGCACACATGGCCCCCAGGATCCCAGACGCCGGCGTGCCACTCACAGAGCCGCTGAGAATAAATCAACAGCAAGAGGGGCAGCTGAAGATGTCACTGCAACAACAACGGATGCAGGAGGAACTTATTCTGCAAAAGCAGAAGGTACAGCAAGAGTTGGAAAAACAACAGCTGAAGATACAGCAACTGCTGCAGAAAAGCCAGATGCAGGGTGGGGTATTCATGGCGCAGTCTCAGCACTCAAATACGCGAGAGGATTCGCATCAATTAGCTCAACCACAACAACAAATTCAGCAACAAGGCATTCAACAACAACAACAGCGTCAGGGCGGACCCCACTTAGTTCAACAGGGAAATGAACGGGAGCTATTACAGCAGTTGGCCCAACAGCAACAACAACAACAACAACAACAACAGCAACAGCAGCGTCAGGG